TTTGGGGGAATTTTAGGGGGATTTTGGGGAAATTTGGGGGAATTTTAGGGGATTTTATGGGAATTCTGGGGGACTTTTGGGGAGATTTTAGGGGAAATTTGGGGGGATTTTAGGGGTAATTTGGGGGGATTTTAGGGGATTTTATGGGGAATTTTATGGAAATTTTTGGGAAATTTTATGGGAATTTTGGGGGAAATTCGGGGAAATTTCATGGGAATTTTGGGGGAAATTAAGGGGAATTTTATGAGAATTTTTGAGGGGATTTTATGGGAATTTTGGGGGGATTTTAGGGGAAATTTGAGGGAATTTTGGGAAATTTTGCTGGAATTTTATGGGAATTTTGGGGGAAATTTAAGGGAATTTTGGGGGAATTGTATGAGGAGTTATTGGGAATTTTTGGGAAATTCAGAGGATTTTTAAAGAATTTTTGGGGAATTTTGTGGGAATTTTGGGGGGAATTTTGGGGTGATTGTATGAGAATTTTGGGGGAATTTCATGGGAAATTTGGGGGATTTTAGGGGAATTTTTGGGGAATTTTATGGGAATCTTAGAAGAATTTAGTGGAAATTTTTGGAGATTTTAGGGGAATATTGGGGAAATTTTAGGGGTAATTTGGGGGGATTTTAGGGGAATTTTGGGGTATTTTATGGGAATTTATAAGAATTTTTATGGGGAATTTTGGGGATTTTTTTGGGAATTTTAATGAGGAGTCACTGGGGATTTTTGGTGGAATTCTTGGGGATTTTTTGGGGAATTTTGGGGATTTTTATGGGGAGGTTTTGGGAATTTTGGGGAGATTTTTGGGATGGTTTTGTGATTTTTTTGGGAATTTTGGGGTCCTAAACCCCTTTTTTCCCCCAAAAAAAATATTTTTTAAAGGGATCTGAATTTTTGGGAGGGGTTCCCAGGGAATTCCCGGGATTTTGGGAATTCCCAAAATTTCGGGAGGGGTCCCAAATTCCCGATTTTTCCCCAGGCCCACATCCGGCAGAGTTTGGAGCAGAAGGAGAAGGAGAAAAACGAGGAGGAGCCCCCCAAAAAAAAGAGGAAAATGGAGGGGAAGATTCCCAAAAAATCCGGGAAAAAAATGGGAGAAAACCTCCAAAAATCCGGGAAAAAAATGGGGGAAAATCCCAAAAAATCCGGTATAAAAATGGGAGAAAATCCCAAAAAATCCGGGAAAAAAATGGGAGAAAATCCCCAAAAAATGGGAGAAAATCCCCAAAAAATGGGAGAAAATCCCCAAAAAATGGGAGAAAATCCCCAAAAATCCGGGAAAAACATGGGAGAAAATCCCAAAAAATCCGGTATAAAAATGGGAGAAAATCCCCAAAAATCCGGGAAAAAAATGGGGAAAAATCCCCAAAAAATGGGAGAAAAATCCCCAAAAAATCTGGAAAAAGGGGAAGGAAATGCCCCGAAAAATGGAAAAAAATTTGGGGGAAAAAACCCCAAAATTGGGCAAAACCCGGGGGGAAAGCCCAAAGTGAGGCGGGGGGGGCCGGGCCCCAAATTTGGGGGAACGGCCCCGAAATTGGGGGGGTCCCCCCCAAAAAAGGGGGCCCTGGACAGGTTCAAGAAATAAATTTTGGGGGGCAGCGAATTCGGGGGGTCCGGACGTGGTTTTGTCCCCGATTTTGGGGGTCCCCAAAGGGTCCCCGGCCCAAATTTTGGGGTCTCATCCCCAATTTTGGGGTTCCCATCCCAAATTTTGGGGGTCCCCAGTGTCCCCTCCCAATTTTGGGGTTCCCATCCCAAATTTTAGGGGGTCCCATATGTCCCCTCCCCCAATTTTGGGGTCCCTCCCAAATTTTGGGGGTCCCCTCCCTAATTTGGGGTCCCCAAAGTGTCCCTGTCCCAAATTTTGGGGTCCCCTCCCCAATTTTGGGGGTCCCCCATGTCCTCTCCCCATTTTGGGGTTCCCATTCCAAATTTTGGGGTCCCCAAAGTGTCCCCGTCCCAAATTTTGGGGTCCCATCCTAAATTTTGGGGTCCTCGTTCCAATTTTGGGGGTTCCCCGTGTCCCCTCCCCAATTTTGGGGTCCCTTCCCCAATTTTAGGGTCCCCATTCCAATTTTGGGGGTCCCCAATGTCCCCTCCCCATTTTTGGGGTCCCTGTCCCCAATTTTTGGGGTCCCCAATGTTCCCTCCCCCCCAATTTTGAGGTTCCCATCCCATTTTTGGGGTCCCACCCCAAATTTGGGGTCCCCTCCCCAATTTTGGTGTCCCTGTCCCAAATTTAGGGTCCCCTCCCCATTTTTGGTGTCCCCTCCCTATTTTTGGGGTCCCCTCCCTATTTTTGGTGTCCCCGTCCCCATTTTTGGGGTCCTGTCCCCATTTTTGGTGTCCCCGTCCCCATTTTTGGGGTCCCCATTTGAAATTTTGGGGTCCCGGTGCCCCCCCCCCCCCCCCCCAGGAGCCGCTCGGTGTCACCGGCGCCAGGAATTTATTGGGGTGACAGCGGGTGACATTCCTGTCACCGTGCCAGGTCTGGGTGACATCAGGCCACTGTGCCAGGTCTGGGTGACATCCGGTGACAGCGGGTGACAGCGGGTGACATCAGGTGACAGCCGTGTCACCGTGCCAGGTCTGGGTGACATCCGGTGACAGCGGGTGACATCAGGTGACAGCCGTGTCACCGTGCCAGGTCTGGGTGACATCCGGTGACATCTGGTGACAGCAGGTGACAGCTCCAGGTGGCAGCAGGTGACAGCCGTGTCACCATGCCAGGTCTGGGTGACATCCGGTGACATCCAGGTGACATCAGGTGACAGCTCCAGGTGACTCCGGGTGACAGCTGTGTCACACCCGTGTCACCGTGCCAGCTCCGTGTGACACCTCCAGGTGACACCCATGTCACCGTGCCAGCTCTGTGGGTGACATCCGTGTCCTTGGGTGACATCCGGGTGACATCGGTGTCACTGTCCCAGCGTCACGGCCGTGTCACCGTGCCAGCTCCCGGTGACATCCGGGTGACATCGGTGTCACCGTCCCAGCTCCAAGTGACATCCGGGTGACATCAGTGTCACTGTCCCAGCTCCGTGTCACACCCAGGTGACATCCGTGTCACTGTCCAGTGGCCCTGGGTGACATCCGGGTGACATCCGCGCCGGTGTTCCGTGTCCCCAGGTGACACCTCCAGGTGACACCTCCAGGTGACATCGGTGTCCCCGTGCCAGCTCCGTGTCCCCGTGTCACACCCGTGTCACTGTGCCAACTCCGCGTGTGACATCCGTGTCCTTGTGTGACATCCAGGTGACGCCTGGGTGACATCTGCGTCACCGTGCCAGCTCCGTGTCCGTGTGTCACACCCGTGTCACCGTGCCAGCTCCGTGTCCGTGTGTCACACCCGTGTCACCGTGCCAGCTCCGTGTGACACCTCCAGGTGACATCCAGGTGACATCGGTGTCACCGTCCCAGCTCCGTGTCCGTGTGTCACACCCGTGTCACCGTGCCAGCTCCGTGTGACACCTCCAGGTGACATCGGTGTCCCCGTGCCAGCTCCGTGTCCGTGTGCCAGCTCTGGGTGACATCGGTGTCACTGTCCCATCCCCATGTCCCTGTGTCACACGTGTGTCACCGTGCCAGCTCCGTGTCCATGTGTCACACCCGTGTCACCGTGCCAGCTCCGTGTGACACACCCAGGTGACATCAGTGTCACTGTCCCATCTCCGTGTCCCTGTGTCACACGTGTGTCACTGTGCCAGCTCCGTGTCCGTGTGTCACGTCCGTGTGACACCTCCAGGTGACATCGGCGTCCCCGTGCCACACCCGGGTGACATCGGTGTCACTGTCCGGTGACATCCGGGTGACATCCGGGTGACATCTGTGCCAGTGTCCGGGTGACATCGGCGTCCCCGTGCTGGCTCTGTGTCACACCCGGGTGACATCGGTGTCACCGTGCCAGCTCCGTGTCCCTGTGTCACACGCGTGTCACTGTGCCAGCTCCGTGTCACACCTCCATGTGACACCCAGGTGACATCGGTGTCACCGTGCCAGCTCCGTGTCCATGTGCCAGCTCTGGGTGACACCTCCAGGTGACATCGGTGTCCCTGTCCCAGCTCTGGGTGACACCTCCAGGTGACAGCCGTGTCACTGTGCCATCTCCATGTCCTCGTGTCACACGCGTGTCACCGTGCCAGCTCCGTGTCACACCTCCA